GCCTGGAAAAAGTCATGTCTAAGAGCAGAGAGGTCTTAGCAAGGAGACCCCAAAGGATACACCTGCAAGGGCCTCCTCAAGGTGACTCAGCTCGAAGGAATTTGTAGAAACGTAACTTCCTGGGACCTGGAGGCTGACGCTTGCTTCTGTTTCCATAAAAGCCTGAGGTTCTGTAAAAGCCGGAGCTGCTTCTCAGGTTTGAAATTCAAACTGACCAATGAGACAGGTACTCGGGGACCAGAACTTTTTGACTGGGGATAAAAAGGAGAGAACTGAGGGGTGGCGCTGTGGTTCAAAGGAGTGGGGCACTGGCCCCATATACCAGAGGTGGCAGGTTCAAAACCGGCCCCAGCCAAAAACTGCAAAAAAAAAAAAAAAAAGAGGACTGAGCCAGCTGGGGAATGTGGCCAGATGCTCCACCATCTGAAATAAAGCCTTTCCTCTTTTAAACACAGCGTTGGAGTGCTCTTTCTCCCCATTGGGGGTCATCTTTCTGCGCCATCATGTCCACCTTAGCCTGCCTGATTCCATCTTATTTTCACTCAATGTGCTTTCACAGGCACCCTCTGCCCTCTTGTTCCCTCTGCCTTTGAATAAGTTCATTCCTACATTAATCTTCTCTGGCCCTGTGCTTTGTTTTGTCAATTTTAACTACTTCCCTCTGGAAGTTGCTCTCTTCTTTACAAAGGTTCCTCTGAATAGTAAGCGGAGGCTGCTTTCTGCTGTTCAGAGACCTCTTCACTAACATACCCCCCCCTTTTTTTGATCTGGGGAAGTGCATGTCTGGAAACATGTCCCAATGGACCCAGAGCCCCCCAGGCAGAAAACAATTAGCAAGTGAATGTATTTGGCATTGAACTTGGTCCTCACAGTCCCTGTCCCAGGCGAGGCAGCAGCTGTGCCTTCCATTCCAGGAGGGACCACCCAGATGAGATACTGATCTGGCTGCTTTTCTCTGACCCTGCTTGAGTTCAAAGGATGTGGTCTGGAAAAGTCCTGTTGACCCAGGCCAGGAAAATGGGGGCTCCCTGTCCAGCTCTGAGTGGGGGATCCTGTATTAAAATAGCTTTCCCAATCAGCAGGAAATGTGGTGTGTAAGTCTTGGGGATTTTCAGGGAGCCACTAAAATTGTGAGACAGCAAATTAAAGGGAGATGACAGCTCAGTGCTCAGCAAAGCCCCGGTCTCTGGTTTCCCCTGTCGTCCTCTCAGCTGCTGAGGTACAGAGCCCCTGTATTTCGGCACCTAGCAGAAGGCTGAATCATAACAATCGCTCAAGCTGCGTTTTTTCAAGGTGACAAGGGGTTTCCCCTCTCAGCAGCCAGTGATTGGATGTTCTCAGGAATGAGATCATTCATGAATGATTCTCATTCATGAATAAATATTTTAAATCAAAGAGGCTGCGATGATACTAATGGGAATTATGCACTTTCTATTATTTATTTATTTATTTATTTTTTATTATGCACTTTTTAAACTTCCTGCAGCTCGTTCACAGGTGCCCTTGACTGTGCACAGATCTAGAGCCAGGGAAAGCAGGGCAGGACTGCTTTACCCTCCAGGTGGAAAGGCCACTACCAGAGCCAAGAGGCCTGACTCTGGCCCAGTTGTGACAGGCACTTTTGACCTCCACCAGTCAGAGTCCTGGCAGGAGACCGAGGCCACACGTATCAACAGCAGTGGAGGAGGGGTTAATATTAGTGGACGGTCACTTGCGAAGGGGTGAATGGGATTGAGGGAAACCACTAAGGGATATGGAGGCGCCCCAGGGCTAGAATATCACTCCAGGTCTAAAGGGATGAGGGGAGGGTGGTTACAAAGTTCAGAGAGAGCAGCTGAGAGAACTGACCAGTACAGTCTGCAGCCAACCTGAAGCCCAGGAGAAGAGAGCCAGGGGACTTAAAACCCCAGGATCTCTCTTTTCGGGCAGGGCCTATGGCTCAGTGGGTAGGGCGCCAGCCCCATATACCGAGGGTGGCGGGTTCAAACCTGGCCCTGGCCAAACTGCAACAAAAAAATAGCCGGGCATTGTGGCGGGCACCTGTGGTCCCAGCTACTCAGGAGGTTGAGGCAGGAAAATCGCCTGAGCCCAGGAGTTGGAGGTTGCTGTGAGCTGTGATGCTACTGCACTCCACAGGGGTCTTTGTGGAGAGAGTTTATAAAGGTCACCCTACAGAAGCACAGAGCAAGGAGGAAAGTGGGTCAGGTGGCACAACCGGAAGATACCCAGGCGGCCACCTGGCGGCCACCCTTTTGCTCATCATTACGTAGTTGGTCCTCCAGGGAAGCAAGGTCTCCCCAGGGAGGGGACTTCCTTCCCACTGGGCATAAGGAAACAATGAAGAAAGTAGCAGTGGTATTCCCTGACAGGTCAGCCCGGGCCTCACAGATGGACAAAGTGGGTTTCACCTCCCACTTTCTTTTCTGCCCCCCCCGCCCCCCCCCTCCTGGATCCTGCCCCCCACCTCCTGGATCCTCCCTGCCTCTTTACACAGCGGTGCTGCATTCAGGTTTGCTGAAAACAACTCTCTTCTGTTTCTCGTGGTAACCAGGATGCTGCCAACCCTGTCACAGTCATCTAGTCCATATGTCGGTGAGGGCTGCCATCAACTTTGTATGGAACTCTTGGTGTTGCAGGGAAAGAGCAATTAAAACAGACACACATAGCAACAGAGAGGAAGGAACTTGGAATTGCCAGGGAGAACTCAGGTGCCTCAAGGGCTGAAGTGCTGAGTTCCCGAGAACAGTTCTTTTCCAAACTCTTTTGTACCTTTTTTTTTCTTCAATTCAGGATCAGCTACATAGTTCTGGCTACAGATGTTAGAAACCAGGGTATTGTTCTCAGTTAGAGTCTTTTTCTCTTTTGCTCAGTATAAAATTTGTTCTTATCTTCAATGGAGGAGTTCTTCCGTACCTGCCTGCTGCTTTCTCAGGATCACCAAGAAGTAAAAGATCTGGCTCAGCGCCTGTGGCTCAGGTGGCTAAGGCACCAGCCACATACACCTAAGGTGGCGGGTTCAAATCCAGCCTGGGCCCGCCAAACAACAATGATGGCTGCAACCAAAAAATAGCTGGGTGTTGTGGCAGGGGGCCGTGGTCCCAGCTACTTGGGAGGCTGAGGCAGGAGACTTGCTTGAGCCCAGGAGTTGGAGGTTGCTGTGAGCTGTGATGTCACAGCACTCTATCCAGGGGAATAGTTAAGGCTCTGTCTCAAAAAAAAAAGAAGTAAAAGATCTATTTCTATTTCCTCATTCTCTCATAGAGGTTTTAAAATTAAACCAGGAAAATAAAAAAATAAAACAGGAAAGTCTAATAGAGATATTAAGAACATACCATTAAAAAACCTCACAGAGTCTGTGGCACCTGTGGCTCAAAGGAGTAGGGAGCTGGCCCCATGTACCGGAGGTGGCGGGTTCAAACCCAGCCCCGGCCAAAAACTGCAAAAAAAAAAATAACCCCACACAGTCATTGAACATACCAGCTGCCATTACAGTGTTTA